TTAAAAGAGGACAACAGATGGCCAGTAAACAGTGCAACAAAGACCTCATGTCCTTCTGCCTTGTTCTGGAGTCTTTATTCCATCAAGAAAAATGGCCAAGCAGCTCAATAACCATTCATGTGGAAACTGCAGGTGTTTTGGTATAATTTATGCTGCCACTTTTATAGCATAGCAAAGATTTTGTGTGTCCTTAAATCAATTATTGCTACTTGGGGACATTTTAACTATTTGAAATAGCTGAGACAAAGCAAATTCTATTGTTTCAACATCAACCCCCCACTCCACCACCCACCCCCACCTCAGATCCTTCTGCCTTAGCTACTTCACAGATGTGTCCAGTTAATGCATGAAAGAAAACAGATGTAACTTTGTTCTGTATTTGGTAGAAAAATTAAGGACGGGTGTGGTCTTTGTACTTATTTTCTTAGATGTATTTTTTACATGGATGCAGCGGTTTGATTTTTTTAAGGAATCAAAAATAAGGAAATTAATTAGAAAAAGAAGAAATAATCTTTTTGTTGTTGTTGTGTACCTTCAAGTCATTTTAGATTTATGGTGACCATCTCATGACATTTTCAGAGGAGAAGAATATGACACTTGGCTGAGTAGGAATTCAGCCACTCATTGTTCCCCTTTCACAAATTGCTATTGCTCATAACACCACTGTGTGAGACACTAGATAAAGATGGCCCAGTGTTCCCATGGGACCATTTGTCCTAGTCCACACACGCAATTATCCATACGTGCAATAGGCAGCAGGAAGAGCTGGAATTGCATGACTTGATGGATTGGATAGACAGTAAGGAGCACCTATTTACATGGACTCTTTTCAAAGAAGTATAAATATAATCATTATCCAAAACACTGGTTACAGCACGCATGGGCAAACTTTGGCCTCCAGGAGTTTAGAACTTCACCTCCCAGAAATCCCAGCCAGCTTACTGGCTATTAGGAATTGTGGGAGTTGAAGTCCAAAACACCTGGAGAGCCAAAGATTACCCATGCCTGGGTTACAGCGTGTACCTAGCTGTTATTTTCTCAAGGGAAGCATGATTGAATGTTCTGGGACATCTCTGATTTCACACAAGGCTCATACATATATATAAGAGAGTTATCCAGAAAGCAAGGTTACAAGGCACATAGCTCTCGCTGGGAATTTTCGCAGGGAAAGTTTGCATCATTGCTGTGTAGCAGGAAGCCAGCGGAAGCGAATGAGCAGTGCCACTCATCAGTAGCTCATCGACTGGCGTTGTGGTGAAGGTTAGAGATGCATGTCCTCATTCCGTTTCCCACCAAGTGCTAAGTTCGCGCTGTAATATGCTACCTAAATAAATGCTAAGGGCATGAATACCACTGAGATTCATCATGAGGAAAATCATGGTGTCAGTGGTTTGGGACAAAAAAGGGGTTCTACTTGTTGATTTTTTGGAAAAAGGTAAAACAATCAATGCTGCAAGATATTATGAGACCACGAAGAAACTTCACAGAGCCATCCAAAACAAACATCGTGGGATGCTTATGGTGGGAGTCTGTCTCCTTCATGACAATGCACGTCCACACACTGTTCATACAACATAAGAGTTGTTGACTTCATTTGGTTGGGATGTTTTAAGCCACCCCTCTCACAGCCCCAATCTTGGACCCAGTGACTATCATCTGTTCACTAAATTGAAGGAACACCTTGGTGGAAGACTCTTTTCTGATGACAATGAGGTGAAAATCAAAGTGACAAACTGGATGAAAAAAGTGGCAGGAATCTTCTATGACACACGAATCAAAAAACTCATCCTACGGATGATAAAATGTATTGAATTGAATGGTGATTATGTGGAAAAATGTAATACCTATGTTATAATCCATGTTAAGTTTTATAAAAATATATTCATTCTTTGTATTTAAAAAAAATCTTTTAACCTTACTTTCCAGATAACCCTCGTAATTAGCGCATCTACAGAACATTGCCCAGGTGTCGAAGTGTTTTAGAATCAGTAAAATAATAATAATAATAATCCAATAACATAGGCATAGGTGTCACCTGGGACTGGGACATGGGAATTTTACAGGATGCAGAAAATGTGAAAGTGCAAAGTTCCTGTGATGACTTTATAAGTCAAGGTTTTTATGAGGTTTCTGATACCAGCAAGTTCAACATCAGTTGTAGGAAAAGAATATCATAGGTTAGGCAAAGCAATTTCCTAATTTCACAGCAGAAATGGAAGAGCTGCTCCTTTGCCACCAGAGAGAGAGAGAAAGAGGGAAGCACCAGGTCCTTCACTGTACCATTAAATGGTCTGGCAGTGTGCTGCCTCACCATATTCCAGCACTGAATAGTACTGGGTGCCATAAATCTAATATCTTAGCATTACATTTTATTCTTTTTTATGTTAGCATAATTGGAGGTTAGGAGTATGCTCCAAGCTCTCAGTCTGGAGGCTGTTACAGTTCTCTGAACACATAAAACAAAGGCTGATACACCCTATTGGTCTCATTTGAATTCAAGATGACAAAAATCTACAGTTTTGAGCTCTTAGGGAACTAACAGAAAACCTCAAAGGAGGGCTTTATGTTGCCAATGTGTACATTTCATCATTTGAATAATCAGAATTCTGAATTTTATTAAAGCAGACAAGTCAATGGGTTCCTTTGTTCCTCAAAAACCGTTTGCCTGGATATTCCCAGATAAATGAAATTAAGTAACTATTCCCAGCTCACTGTGAAAGGAGGACAGTCATTTTAACCAGCAAATATTATACCATATACTTCCTGTCCTAATTGGGACAGCAATGCCTCGCAATCTGTTGCAACTACTCATGTGAAGAAGAAGAAAAAAGCTTGAAAACTGGGCTAAGTCTGTACAAAATGGATACTCCATTATGCTTTGCCAAACATTTGTTAGGGTTAAGGGCCAGATTACTTCAGCAGTGAAACATTTTGCTGCCTTTTTGAAGTTCACTTATTTTAATTATACACTGTAGAGCAAACAAACATATTTTTCAGTTACATTCATCAAACTGCAAGCTAGATAAATGTTGCTACAAGGCTGTGGAATTCATGGGGAGACATAGATGAATCCACAGCAAAGTTAAAAAGAAACAGTGTTTAGTTTAGCAAGGTCATTTAGTCCATAATCCTATATCTTATACCTGAGTGCAAGCCCCACTAAATATAGTCGTATGATTTCTTTTGCTTTCTTTTAATAAAGTTTATTTTGGGTTTAAAAAAAAGGTGAAAAACATACATACTAAAATTTAAAAATAGAATACATATAACAATTACAACTAGTACAAACAACAATAACAACAACTGGGTTCTTGTGAGTTTTCCAGGCTGTATGGCCATGTTCCAAAAGCATTCTCTCCTGACGTTTCTCCTGCATCTATAGCAGGCATCTTCAGAGGTTGTGAGATCCTCTCACCTCTGCAGGAGTCTACCACATACCATGCAGCTGTGGAGAAGTCTACATAGGGACCACCAAAGAGATTCTGATGTCTTCTGTTTGTGCTTATTATTATTATTTTAGTAATAAATGGGGGAAGTCTCAATATAGTAACATGAGCTAACTCATGAATGGGCAAACTTGGGCCTCCAAGTGCTTTGGACTTCAACTTCCGAGTTGAAGTCCAAAACACCTGGAAGGCCCAAGTTCACCCATGCCTAATATAAGAACTATTCCTTATGCTGCCTTGAAGGGTGGTTGTAGTCTCCTTCTTTGGAGGTTTTCAATGAGATTGTGTGCTCCTACCTGGCAGAATGGGATCTCTTCCAACTCTATGATTCTAAGTTTGCCCATTTATTTGTCGTGTCGTGTTGGGAATTGGGAATACAGAAGTGAATTGGGAATACAGTTATGATGCATAAATATTATAAACAGTTTTCAAACTTGACTTTATACTAAATTTCCTTTGACCAGAAGCTGGCCTCATCAAGTGCCTCTGGTGCCATTGTGAAAAGGTCCTCCATAGTGCTCCTGCTTATCTTCCTACCTAATTGAATTTACCTATTTGTTTAAAGTGCTTTTGTATTTTATTGCTTTTTAATTATCTTCAATAAAAGGATTATTTTCCATCCAACTGCGTGGTTTTTAAAGTCAGAGGGCTTTTCCTGTCCTGGAGTGCAACAGTGGCATTTGTGGATGCAGAATCCATGAATTTAGAACCTGCTGGTGAAGAGGGACAGCTGCATAACAAATGGACCGTCCTCAAGTTGGGTCTTCCTTCACGTGAAGCCTCAAAGGGTGCGCGGCCCCTGGATAAGGAGGGCGGCTGCGTAACTAATGGAAAGCATACCCGGACTACTTTGCTCCTGCTTATCGACCTACCTAATTGGATTTACCTATTTCTTTAAAGTGCTTTTTTTTACTTTATTGCTTTTTAATTCTCTTCAATAAAAGGATTGTTTTCCATCCAACCAGGCCCGTAGCCAGGATTTTGTTTGGGGGGGCGAGGATTAGTCTGAGTGAAAGCAAACCTTTTGTATCGTTACCCCAATACCCCCATTGCATATGGGATATATTGAGCATGGTGATCAGATCATGATATGAAAAACAGTTTAAATAATGTACCAGTAAAGCCTTCTCGCGGACCACCATCAGAATTTGGGGGGGGGGGCGCTGAAGCCCCCAAGCCCCCCCCCCCCCCGCTACATGCCTGCATCCAACGGACTGGTGTTTAAAGTCAGAGGGCTTTTCTGTCCTGAAGTGCCACAGTGGCATTCGCGGATGCAGAGTCCATGGATTTAGAACCCGTGGGTGAAGAAGCGAATGCACCGCCCTCAAGTTCAATTTTCCTTCATGTGAAGCCTCAAAGGGGGCGTGGCCCGTGGATAAGGAGGGCGGCTGCGTAACTAGCGGAAAGCCCTCGGATTTGATCTCCTAATTGGAAAGGGGCGGGGCCCGCGGGTGCAGAGTTGCGCTGCTGCCCAACTTAGGCTCGAGCGTGAGGGCTGGGAGGGGGTGTGCCTGGGGAAGGGGGCGTGGCTTAGCCCCCTGTTTCCCCACTCCCCTCTTCCTCTCAGAGTGCCTGCTTCTTCCCTTCCTCATTGGGAAGGCCGGGCGCGGAGGGCGGCGCAGCATGGTGGGCGCGGGAGGATGTCGGCGTGGGCGTGCGACGGGCGCCCTGCGCGGCGGACGCAGTGGCTGGTGAGCGCGCTGGCCTCGCACTTCGGCCTGGGCGGAGGAAGCAGCGGCAGCGGCGGCAGCGGCGTGGAGAACGAGGTGGTGGTGCTGGCCACGGGCCTGGACCAGTACCTGCAGGAGGTCTTCCACCACCTGGACGGAGAAGGGCAGGGGCGGCTGCCCCGCGAGGACTTCCGCGCCCTCTGCCGGGTCCTGGGCCTCCGGGATGGAGGCGACGACGAGGAGGAGGAAGAAGGAGAGGAGGAGGAGGAGGGCCGGGGCCTCTGCCGCCGCCTTCCCCCGGAGCTGACCTTCCGCCAGTTCCACTCGCGGCTCTGCGGCTACTTCGGCGCCAAAGCCCCCGGGGGAGGGCGGGTGGCGCGGCTGCCCGTGGGCGCCGAGACGGAGCACATCGAGACCCAGATCCGGCTCCGGAGCCCCTTCCGACGGCGGAAGAAGGAGGACGAGCGGGGGGCTTCCAAGGCCAAGGCGCCCCCCTCTTCCTCCTCCTCCTCCTCCTCGTCGCCCTCTTCCCCGCCGCGGAGGGGCTCCTGCTCGAGGGAGTGCTACGAGGAGATCGTGGCCCTGGAGCAGGCCGAGGACCGCATCCTCAAGCTGGAGGAGGAGAACGGCAGCCTCCGGGAGCTGGTCGAGGACATGCGCGCCGCCCTCCAGAGCAGCGACGCCCGAGCACTCGCCCTCCAGGTCAGAATAGCACCCGGGGATTGGGGGTGGAGGGTAGTGAGACGGGACGACGGAGTCTCTGAGCATGTGCAGAAGTCCGGCGCCTCCAGCTCATCTCGGCAGTGGAGGGGCGCCTCAAACTCTCCAGTGCTTGGAATTCCTCTTCCCAAAGTATTCTCAGACACTTCAGCCTCTGAGGATGCTTGCCACAGAGGTGGGAGGTAGGTGTGAATGTTTTCCCCAGGCAGTAATAAGCCACACCTTGAAAACTGCTAGGCCATTAAATGCTAATCAAGGAAACATTCACACTTGCCTCAAGCAGGGAAGAGTGCTTTCTCCCACCCTGGACATTATTCCACAGATATATAAACCTCACTTGCCTAGTTTCCAATAGACCTCACAACCTCAGAGGATGCCCGCCATAGATGTGGGTGAAACATCAGGAGAGAATGCTTCTGGAACATGGCCATACAGCCCGGAAAACACACAGCAACCCAGTTATTCCGACCATGAAACCTTCCACAGCACATTGTTCTTAGAATCCTAGACTTGGAAGAGGCCTCGTGGGCCATCCAGTCCAACTCCCTGCCAAGAAGCAGGAAAATCGCATTCAAAGCACCCCCGACAGAAGGCCATCCAGCCTCTTCTTAAAACCCGTTCCCAACCTTTTTATGACCAGAGATCTCTTGACAAGGGAACACTCTCCAACATTAGTACCCAAAGGGTTACAAATCAGTTTTGGTCAACTTTTGATTTGGTGGCGCAGTGGGTTAAAGTTGCAAAACTTGTTGACCAAAAGGTCGCAAGTTCAAATCCAGGGAGCGGCATGAGCTCCCACTGTCAGCCCCAACTTCTGGTAACCTAGCAGTTCAAAAACATGCAAATGTGAGTAGATCAATATTTATTTATTTATTTATTTACTCCATTTGTATACCGCATTTATCAGCCTGGTGGCGACTCAATGCGGTTTAAGTACCGCTCTGGCGGGAAGGTAACAGCGCTCCATGCAGTCATGCCAGCCACATGACCATGGAGGTGTCTACGGACAATGCCGGCTCTACGGCTTAGAAATGGAGATGAGTACCAACCCAAGTCGGACATGACTGGACTTAATGTCAGGGGAAAACCTTTACCTTTACCTTCAATTTGGTTTGGTTACTTGGGGTGCTGATTCAGAAAATTACATTAGATAGACCACATCAGCTCTAATTTCTGATACAGAACATATGCCATCCAGTAATTGCCATCTGCTCTCCCACAGGAAAACATATTTAGTAGTCTAGGGCTGATGTGCGCTATCCAAGGGGTCAGGGCTGGTCAGCGACAGGGAAGGAGCGGCAGGCAGCACAAAAGGAGAGGAAATAAAATAAAGAGGAAGGAAGCTCACGGACCAGATTTTCGCCCTTGCAACCCACTGGTGGTCTGCAGCCCACAGGTTAAGGACCACTGGCTTAAAAGCTTCCAAAGAAATTGTTGCATTCAGAGTTTTCATTCTATTATGGCTGCCTTTTAATTTCGCTTCAGTCCAGAGTTATTCTGATTTAGTAATTAAAAAATAGGCTTTACAGATATTTGGCTACAGCAGTAGTGGAGAACACTAGTGGAGGCACTCTCACAGTCAGCAGTGGCACTGTCTCAAATGCATGCTGGTACTATACTAATGGAAGCATGGGAAACTACTATGATGATGTAATCCAAAATGGAGCAAGAGATCATGGCAGAAGAGGGAATGCCTGGGTTAGATGGCACTCAAAAAGCTACTGGAATATAGTGGAGGACAACTAGTGGCATTCTAGCTGATGATGCAACTAGACACAAGCCAAAAGGATATTCAGCTATTGACGTGCACACAGGCAAATGGAAAGTCCAAAGCTAGATATCATAGATTATAGGGACATGGAATTTGAGAAACATGAATGAAGGGAAGGAAGACATAGTAAAACAAGAAATGGAGTATATAAACATTTCAATATTTGCAGTGAACAAGCTTAAATGGACAGGAATAGGACATTTTTAGTCAGATAATGTTTTATTCAGAAAATTAAAATCTTTAAACATGGGGTAGCATTAATAGTGAGGAAAGATGTAGTAAAAACAGTCAATAATGCAAAGTCTGACTGAATAATACCAACACCACCATAAGGAAAACCCATTAATACAGCCATAATCCAAGTCAATGTATACCAACAACAGAGATATGTGGTAAAATTGGTAAGAATGCCACATGACTCTGCACAGTTTGCTCTGTCTATGCCCATTGTCTGCTCTCTATCCACTTCTAGAAATGCAACCTTCAAAATGCTTTCTAAATTAAATTCCCCCCAATTAAAAAAATCCCATCTCTATTGTTTAGTTTGTGGTGTGTACATTGCTTAGTGTACGTAACAAATACCTACCAAAATGGTTGCTATATTTGTTAGCACTCTATCTAGAGACCATGAATCAACAGAGCAATTTTCCCCTATTGCAGTGAATTGGTGATAATTTTGGTATGCGTTTATATCACAATGGAGGAGACCTGTGTATCACTCTCCAGGTATTAGTGGACTTCATCTCCCATTTAATGCAACCATCAGTCATGCCAGTTGGGGCTAATGAAAGATGTATGCATGATTGCCTACCCAGTTATCAACTGGACCATAGTTCACTCTTTCTGGTACTTCAGCTTTTGGCTCATATAATGAGAAACTTTAAACAAAATTGTTGGTTGCAAGTACATAAAAATAAATCTGCTGAGCTAAAGCAGCTATTGCTCCTAATTTATATTCTCCCCTCCTCCATTTATTATAGGTGGGATTATGGAAGACCCATGCTAGCCATAAGAAAAATGGGACGTGTTTTATAGGCAACCGGAGGGAATTAACTAACCTCCAGTCCCAGACTTCCAAGTGCCTTCAGAGTGTTCTAAAAGAGGTTGAACTACTCCGGAGTTCCAGGGATGAACAAATTGAAGAAGCTATTAAGTTTAATCAAGAACTGGAAAAGGAACTGAGGAGTTCTCACGAAGCTGTTGTTGCCCTGGAAGACTGCAACCGAGCCCTAAAGAGGGAGCAAGCAGAAATGAGGAAGAAGGTTGAAGAAGCAAGACATGCCGTCCTTAACAGTCTTGAAAAAGTAAAAGAGCTAGAAGATAAAGCCCATAAAGTGCCACAGTTGCAGACATATATCCAGCAGCTAGAATCAGAGCTACAATATTATAGGTAAGTGTCCTGAAATCCCAAGAGTAAATAAATATTAGACATGACATTTAAATGCAGTTTGTGAACCCAGTTTTAAGTTCTGAAATGGGGTGGGTAAAGCATTAATTTCTACCTAGTTATTTTCTTAGTAGGGAGTCCACAGCAAAGCTTTACTTATCTCACTTTTAGTTAATGCCACAGCAAACAAGATTTACTGGTCATAGCAGAGACCATCAAAGGAAAGAGTAACAAGGGGGTGGGTGGGTGGAGGGACCAAACAAACCAGCAGATGTTAACAATCTAATTTAGGAGGCATTATAAGTGTGGGAGTTGGTGTTTAGAAAAAAAGAACATATAATCAGATGGGAAAGGCTAGAAAGTATAACAGCCGGTTATTATTAAGGATAATGGCTCTACATATTGCACTTTAGTTTTAAATTATTAGTTGCACTACAAGATTGTTGTTCCTTCAGGCAGTTCTGCAAAATATTTTAGCCCCTGCTTGAAGAGGTTTTCAACAGAAAGACAATGATGGCTATTACCTTGGTAGGCATTTTTTTAGGTCCAAAGTGAACTATATTTTGGGATGTAGGAACATCTATATAGATATTAGTAAATGCTGCCATGGCTATATTCACTATGCTATCACAAGTGCCTTAACTAAGAGTCAGCAGCAGTGGTGTGGTAGAACTGCTTTGAATCCCAATCCTGGAAAAACATGGGATAACAACAACAGGCAGGCTTTTCAGGATTGAAACCACAGGGATTTCACTCCTGTACCACTCTAATTAGACTCCCCTGTTCCCCTTGAATTTATTGCAACCTCCACAGTTATGCGAAGGAACTAGAGTTTCCCAGAAGAGACTGAGCCTTGTTTTAATCCAAAGTATTTCAGGATAGCTTGGTCTTGAGTTGGCAAAACTCCTTTGTCTAAATCCTACTGTGGATCCTAGCCAGAATAGATCCATTGAATCATATGGGATTGACCTAAGTTAATTAAGAGCCACATCCACCATTTAAATGTGATGAGATGTGTTCACAACATGTGAGTGTAAAGAAGAGTGTCACAGACCACCTATTAGTATGAGCCTGCCATATGCACAATGGAGGACCTTCTTATAGCAACACCACTCCAGGTGGCCGGCTACTTGCCAAAAGAAAATTAGTATAATGCCAAGTTTTAAAACTTAGCTTATGTTTTTTAATGCATTACAACTGGACCCTTGGTTCGATTCTGACACAATAAATAACCTAAGTTAATCACTGTTCAACAGTTGCTTAAATGAATTTTCTATAGCTGGAACTAACAAATGGGATTCAGGTCACTATATTGATATGCCATGATTGCACTGTTTAATTAAATGGCTGTGACCAAGAGGATGCTGCAGGTTTATTCTCTGCTGCTCTAGAGGAACAGATCTAAATTATTTTAACAATAGGAGGGTTGATTTCAATTGAACATTAGAGTGGACCTCTTGACAGTAAGAGCAGTTTGGCAATGAAGCCAATTATCTAGAGAGGTGGTGAGGTCTCTGTACACTTTCAGAAAGAGTCTAGACCACATCTGCTGGGGATTCTGTAGCTGGATTTCCTGCATTGGTGGTAGGGATTGGACTTGGTGGCCTAGGCATCCCCTTCCAGTTCTATAGTTCTGTGATTCTTTAATTTATCAGCTTTATGAAAGAGTTGCTCCTCGTGGATATAGAAACACCTAGATATAGCTTTAGAGCAATTTGTTTAGATCACATTTTGGACTCTCCACAGGGGCTATTGTCATAAGGACTATATTGGGAAGGGCCTGCACTTTAGAATTTACCACTATACTAATGGTCAGTACCCTGATGTGTGTTAACAATGTAATTTGTAGGTATGAGTAATTATTTCCCTTTCCTGCTTAGGCTTGGAAAAATGTAGCAATGCTATTTGAAATAAACGTGTTTTAATCTGTGATGAAATTTAGGGAGTTTAAGCAATTTCTTCTGGAAGGTGGGTGAAGAAAATGAATACCTTCATCAGATAAACACACCAGAGACAAATAAACACACTAACTAGAAATTGGAAGGAACACAAAGACGTAAGTTATGTCTAAGATTCAGATGGGGAACCAAACTTGCATATCCCACTCTGTTCTTATGAGACCTAATTTCTGAAGTGTCCAGACTTGTAGCAATGTGTGTCCAAAGAGAGATAGCCCTGCCTATAGTCCCATTTCTCATTGGCTTTAGTCCTGCCTCAGGCCTACCAATGCCAGTGCCCTTCTACAATGGTGGAATTGTGTGCTTCTATGAGACAAGGGGTTATGCTGATGATAGCAGTGATGCTGATGGGGTCTTCCTTGGCAGACATGTTTTTTATTGAAGAGCCAGACTAAATGTGGCAAACAGCTAGGAAACAGAGCAGAATCCAGTATTGTAGAAAAAATTGGCCTAGGATCAAGAGCAACTGACAGAATTTTGTGAGGCCAACACTTTGTTCCTTGCAAGCACCATCTTCAAGTCACTGAAGAGGAGACTATATGTGGACATCACTTGATAACCAATAAGATGGAGAAACTCAGTTGTCTTGGCAAAAACAAAACCAGAAGCAGATCGTACACAAACCATGAATTGCTTATATCAGAAATTAATGTAAAGCTAAAGAACACTAAATCAATGATTTTGCCAAAATACAACCTGAAGAATATACTAACAATAATAATAATAATAATAATAATAATAACTTTATACCCCGCCACCATCTCCCCAAGGGGACTCGGGGCGGCTTACATAAGGCCATGCCCATCAATACAGTAAGCACAATATAACACAGAAACACAACAGAAAATGAGAAAATAAAATAACATAAAATACAAAACCAATGTCAATAAGCAGCAAAACAATATAAAATTAAAACATTAGAACAACTAAAAACGATCCCTGTATAATTTAAAGATAATATAAAATAGATTTGTACTATTGAATCTAATTGACCAGGAGCTAGACAAACTCTGAACTGAAGCCAGGGCCATTGTCAGGGACAACAATGAATGAGGAAGAACAAGAGACCTCTTCCACTAAATCTGAGAAGTCAAGTTGAAATTTACAACAAGAACTAGGGTGCTTAGCAACAGTAGAGCAGCATATTACATGGACAAAGATAAATAGAAAGACCATAGTAACAATGCCCTCTGGAACGACAGTTATGGAAGAACTAGACAAGATCCTGAAGTGTAAAGGATTGTCCACGTCATTGCATTGTTCATTTCTATACATGATTGGGAAAGCTGGATAGGGAGGAAAATTGATAGAACGAAAGTAAACTAAAGTAAACATGGTACTAAAGAAGAATTCTGTGTGGACTGTTAATTAGACAAATAAATGGATCATAGAGTAAATAAGCCTCAGCTCTCCCTAGAAGCCGAGATTGCTAAAGAGAGATACTCATACTTTGAACGTATGAGAAAATACTATTCTATGGTATGCTTCCAACCCAAGTATAATAAAAATATAAGGTTTGTAACTATGTGTGTTTTTGGAACATATCCCCCATGAATACTAAGGTCATACTATAAATGTATCCATAAATCAATCAATCTTGAACTCTCCCTCGAAGCAAAAAAATCACTAAACTGAGGCTGTCATATGTTCAACATATCACGTGAAGATATGACTTTATTAGAGAAGACAATAAAACTCGCTAAGCTAGAAAATAATTGGAAATGAAGACCACAGTAGAGATGAATAGACTCAGTCAAGGAAGTCATGTCCCTGAGTCTGTGAGACCTGAGCAGGGCTGTTGATGATAGGATGACTTGGAAGTCTATCATTTATAGGGTTGCCATAAGTCAAAGCCAGTGAAGGGTAATAATGATTGCCTCCAAACTACTGATGTTCTTGACAGAAAAATGGATCTGACTCAGTAAGTAAAACCTATTAGATATTAGAAATAAAAATTAGATTGCCTCCAGAGAAATTCAAATAAGAAACAAATATATCTTAAGATGCTCAAGAGATATTTGTTTACTGGTAGGAAAGCCCAATTGCTTTCCTAATAATTACTGATCCAAGTCTACTCTTTAGGCCTTCTTCAATGAGGGTGTATTAAATTGTAAAAGATCAACAATACTTACAATTTCATTACATAAAGGCATTTCTACATTCCCTACAGCCTCTGCATACATTTAGCCAAGACACATCCATCTCTCTCTCTCTCTCTCTCTCTCTCTCTCTCTCTCACACACACACACACATATATATTTCATATTCATATTCTCATACACACACACACACACACATATAAAACCATTAGCTTGCAGGATATAAAAAATAACTAGTTAAATTGTCCCTGGTTCAGATATTTTTTGAGTTTGGAATGTGCAGGCTATACGCAATGTCCAAAGTGATAATGATTTTATTCAATATGTATTTTATGTGTTGTCAGTTTTATGATTTTATATAGCTCCCTGAAGAAGCCTTAAAAGTACATGTGAGCCAAAATGCCTCAGGCTTTTCTATCAATAAAGCATCATCTTTTGTGCATTTTGAGATGTGTCTCTTTTTTAGTTCTGTGACTGCCTTCTGATATTAGAAACTTTTTACACATTTGTCACATCCAGGCTGTCAGATTGTGGGTGACATTTATATCAAGACAGAAACATCTTTTTTTAGGCACATAAATGTGTCTGCAGTTGTCACACCTCACCTTAGTGTATTTATTCACAGGAGCAGTGCTTTTCAAAAAGACTTAGGTATAAGACAGCACCCTGAACTAGTTTATTTATGGGAACCTATTTATGGGATTAGCCATTGAAGAAAAGATTCGTGTGGTTAATGCAATGCCCAACATCAAATGAGTGTGTAGATGATCTTTGCTGAACTCCATATATTTCAGTGAGATAAGTAAGAACAAATATGTGTAAACCAACCTGGAATAATAGAAAGGAGGATCTTCGCCGAATCATAGAGTTGGAAGAGACCACATGGGCCATTTAGTCCAACCCCCTGACATGCAGAAAAGCACAAAGTACCCTCAACAGATAGCCA